TTTTTTTGTAATTTTCGTTTTAAATATTAAGATAAAATATGAGGTAATATTTTTGTATTTTTCAAAGTTAAAATGACTATAAAACCTTAATATAACTATATTTTACTTATTTTTTGTAATTTTCGAAATTATAAAGTACAAAAATAAAGTACAATTTTTTTGTATTTTTCAAGTTTATGAGAGATAAATAAACTAAAATTTATATATATATTTTTGAATTTTTCTTTTTGCAACGAAATAAAGTAAAATAGTTAAAATAGCTATACTAGACCCAATTTCACATATTCACGCTAAAAATGTGAAAATTCTCGGGGAGGGTCAAAAATCACGTGCTTACAATTATTAGTACAGTTGTTATGGGCAGCTTGAAGACCACTCTGGGCCATTACTAAATCTTTTATCATTGTGTGATTCATCGGACCATCTGTGGTTGTGTGTTGATAGGCCCAGGCCCATCATTTTTGTTTGCATGGGTGGAGTCCAAATTTTTTAATTGGCCAAACGTGTTGGCAAGCAATAGTTGAGTAGGGTTAGTGACATTACCTGGTGCCAGCTGTGTAGTTGTGGTCTCCACCGCCTTCCCTTTCCCCATTGGACCCTCCATCGGAGGATGGTGAACGTCAGTTTGTGGTGGACATTGGTTGCTCCTGTTATATCTGGTAGATGCTTTTTTGGAAAATCTACTGTTTTCCATTTTGAGTCTTTTGTAGATAGAGTTATTGGTGTGGTGGAGGGAGTGTGTGGAATAGGTGTAGTAAGAGTAGGTATGGAATTTAGTGGTGGTGTGTGGAAAAATTGGCAACTCCAGTTTGCATGCCCAAAGTGTCCGCATTTTGTAAATAGTAAGTTTATACCTTCATAGAGTATAACCTGCTTGTGGTTATCTATATGAACATGTGTCTTTAGTGGTTTTTCTAATGGTACTTTGATGCATATCCGGGCATATCTCCCTCTCGTTGTAGAAGTGGTACAAGTATCAACCTTTAGGAGTTACCCTAATTTGTTGCCTACCTTTTATAGCATTTGAAAATCATAGAACTCAGTTGGAAGTTCTGGGAGACATACCCAAAGAGAAGGATATGTTAGTTGTGTTGTAGAAGCGATAAATTTAGGCTCCCAGCGGCGAACGGATAGGAAATGATTTAAAATGAGTAAACACTTCAGAGAGGCTCTTCATAAAGTAAATCCAAGTCATTCGAGAAAAATCATCTACAAGAGTGACAAAATATTTATGCCCAGTTTTAGAAATAACCAGACATGGTCCTCAAACATCAGAATGGACTAACTCAAAAGCTGACTCAGCTCGCATATTAACCCTTGGACTTAACGAGATACGATAGTATTTTGCAAATCGACATGACTCACAATCCAATGACGAAAATATTCTGAAACTGAGGACAGAGCTTCTTTAACAAAGGCAAAGAGGGATGTCCAAGTCGACAATGTGCTTCAAAATGAGACACGATACTAGAGCATGCAACAGACCGTGGCTCCCATTCATCAAGGATGTAGAGATCACCAGATATATATCCTTTACCAATAACCTGCATCGTCTTAAGATCTAGAAAAAAATAATGATCGGGTAAGAATGCAACACAACAATTAAGATCTTTGGTAATTTACTAACAGAAATCAAGTTAAAGGCCAAATTTGATAGATTTAATACAGATAACATGGTAATAGAGGAAGTTGGTTTAACAGTCTCAGATCCCAACACTGCTACAAGTTGATCCATCTGCTACAGTAACCGGAGAGGGTGCTTATGTGAGCGAAAGCTAAAAAAAATATTTGGATTACATGTCATGTGATTTGTGGCACCTGAATCGATCACCCATTTATTGGAAGAGGTGATAAGACATGTTTTATCTAACCCGGCAAAGGCAATAACTGAAGAAGATTTCTTAACTGATTTATGATATTAAAGGAATTTTAGAAACTCGTCCGAAACCAAGATTGTTGGACTAGGAGTTGTTGCATTATTATTCTTTACCATCATTTTTTCCTTTTAATAACAAACTGATTAAACTAACAGAGGTCCCCGAATCTAAAAGATACCCAAACAGATCCTGGTAGATATGACATCAACAATCTATTGAACAGGATTCAACTTTAATAATCCACTCAACCAAATCAGAGAACCAAACGAATTTATCCCCAACTCAAACAAAATCAGAGACCAACAAGGTTTCTGATAAGGAAAGACCCAACAGACAATATCAAGTCACTAATCGATCACCACAGTGAGTCAAAAATAAAGATGCAAGCTTCTCACACAGGCAGCCTCCAAGAAAAATACCACAGAATTAAAGAAATCGAATAACCAATGAACCAAACTCAAACATGACCAAACAAAGTGAGAATAAAATCTGGTATAAGGTTGTTCTTTGCCAAAATGTGGTTCTATGATCAGAGAACCACCACAAGTCAACTGAAAATGTCAAAAAGACCTTAAATTAGCTTCCAGCCAAGGAATTTCCGACAGCGGATTCGACCCAACTCCGATGAGCAGTAGACCTGCTATGATACCATGTAAAGTACAGAGACAATAGAGAAAAATCTCTCATATGTCATATTCAAGAAGTAACAAGTATATATACAAGTACATAGAGCTCTAACTATAGAAAGAATAAAAAAGGAAATCCTATAAATGTGTTGTGAATCCCTATAATTATGCTAGCCATGTATATTACATAAGACTATGTCTACATTCACATCATGTCTACATTCATTATCTAGCAAGAAAGTAAGTTACAACCAGCAATGCAAAATGTACAATTCCAACACACTCCTCCGTGGCTAAGCTATACTTTCTTCCCAACACTAAAGACAATCAAATCATTTAAGTTTCATAGGCAACACATCTTGCTCCAAGCGATAGTTGCAGAAATACTTGGGAAATAAGGAGTAGACAAAAAATTGAAATACAAACATGAAATAATTAAAGGTTTTATCAACCAACAAAAAAGGTTCCCAGTATGAACCTTGTAAACTTTCCTTTCAACAACATTAGTGTTCACCTGTTTCAGGATAAACATAGTACAGTATAAGTGGACACATCCATGCTCACAACTACCTCTGAAGATCGCAGTGTATGACATATACCAGCATCTTCCATAATCTACCAAAACGCCTCTCCTCCCAGAGAGTGAAGTAAAAAATCACATATGACCAGTTTGTTACCCGTGAGGTTAAAAAAAAAAAAAAAAAAAAAAGCCAATAAGATCACATATGACCAGTTTGTTACTGAGAAATTATTTTATAATCCACTATAATTTCCTTCTGTACTTCATCCTTCCAATAAGGGGCTTCTTTATCTGACCTATATAGGCTTAGTCCTCTGTCTTCCATTTCTTTCCATGAAACTTGGAGCTGAAATTCAACAAATAATTTAGTCAGCATGTCAGTTTTAATCTGTACCAGGAGCATATGTGACTCACGCTTACATGTACCAAGTCCATTGGCGTCAGATGTCCTCATGATTCGTAGTCTCCTGACGGAGCTAATAAACATTCTGAAACAAATAAGGCGACCATATGATAAACATGGGTACATTTAATCGGTTCCATACAGCAGAATGTTGTGTGTTCTACAAAATCAACCAGAAAGCACAGAGGGATCTGCATTATAACAATTACTGATTTCTATGAAGCCAAAGCTAAACCAGATTAAGCAATCCCCAACCCTTATAATGCGAACATAATAAGTATTTATACTAGTACACATAATGTAAGAACCAAATTGCCAATTCATGTTGATGAATATAGTCCCCCTATTATTTAATAAGCAACTTCTCCTATTCATTTTTCACTCTAAGATAACAAAGACATAAAGTACTATGTATCTGTTGATTTTTTGCAACACATTTTATAAATAATAATTAGGTGTATTTCAATTGTTAATGTGCAGGAAAAGCAAAGTGACAGATGCAGGACATACTCCCATGGAACATCTCCAACAAGCATCCAGTCTCCTTCTTTGTCTTCATAAGTCAGCACAAATTCTGATGATCCATCTAATAATCTTGAAGATGACGTTTCTGACATGACACTTAGCTCTTGTGCATTTGACGCTGACAGCATACAAAAAGTTAATGTCAGAAACCATGGAAAATGAACCTAAAATACTTGTTATAAGAACTCCAAAGAATTGTTTAAAAACAAGAATTTAGCATGAAATGTCTGTCAGTTCCTCCAAGATATCAGGCTTAGAACATATGGACAGCTAATATTTCCAACAAAAAACCATAATTCATTACAACCATCAACATTTTGCCCAACAAAACTCGATGTATAATTCATTCAAATTCTGAAGCAACTAAAAACTCATTATCCTTTATGGCATATTTGTGGAAACAATCTTCTGTTCCATTTTCAGATTAATGAACTAGGGAGAAGAACTACTTACATCTTGCACAAACCGCAGTGTTGGGTTTTAAGAACATCCTATCTAAAGTCTGTTCCAAGTTCTCATAGCTACTATGAGCATTCAGATCTACCTTCCTTCCAATTGCAACTCCATCCATATTGACCTTCACAAACATGGAAGTCTTGATGAGCCCTTTCTCCTTGGCAAAACTGTTGCTCTTGCTGCTACTCGCATTAGTGATGATATTTTTGCTTTTGCATTTCTCAATTGCCCCGCAAAATTCTTCTGTGGGTGGTGATTTTGTCTGGTTAACTAGGGTATTCATCCTATAAGTTCTTACAGGAGGCCATCCAACAACCTGACTGCAATGTGGGATTCAAGCAAAAGGTAAGTAAGTAGATGTATATTAAGACAAAGAGAAAGAAAACTAAAAATCTTAAGTATGTTAAACAGCTTATTATAGTTTGCTCACTAAATAAAATGCACAACCTACATTAGCAAGGATGAAAAAGGAAAGGCATATCTTCCTGTGACATAGGAAAAGTTTCAATAACAAAGTTTATGCATGCAACAACAGCTATGACATATTTTAGTCATGACACATTTTCTTCAGGGGTGCCAAGTAGCAGAACAGTGTATTATAAAAGAAAACCATCTGTTGAAGCCATATCTATACCGGACATCAGACATGATATCTCGAAGTAACATAATGATATGGAACAATACCACATTAAATATCAAACTTATAAACCATAACAAACAGTACATAATATGTGCTCACATTTAACATACAATAAACTGCCTGAAAAAGGGCAGAATATTATATCTCCAACCCCAGATATTCTGGAAATGAGCACTTCAAGGAATAACTCAACTACAAAAAGGCACCAAAACTATGTAACTACACTTTTTCAATGAACTTCAAGGAATAAACTTATCTGTTCCGTGAAACCAAAACTTATTGAATTTGACCCAAAGGAATGTTATAGAAAGATGCAACTTTACAGGACAACAATATCAAAATCTTACTTAAAGAAGTTTCATACATAAATCTCAACCACCAAGGAAGATGAAGACGAGCTCAATATCCAAAAAAGCACCCTCTCTTTTTCTACAGGAAATCAAATTACCTGGTTCCAAATGCACTTGGATGGGTAGTTGAATAGAGGATAAATAAATTTTTTCTTTAATTGTTGTTGTAATATTGAGTGTAGCAGTCAATCATTCTGCAAAAGAATCTATTCCTACTTTTGACTAAAATTGTAATCATTCATGATACTTCAAACACAGGCAGAGCCGGATCCATATTTCAATATAAGGGCTCAACATTTAGGTTCTTACAGATGAACCCATTGCACTTTTTGAAATTATAGGTTCATAATCTAATTATTTGTTAAAATTTTGGTGATTTTTCACATATGTATATCTGTACCCCGTGCCGAATCCACTGGGTTCCTACTTGTGTTTTAAATCTGCCACTGCTAAGTGCTAATAGGGACATAGAAATCACAAGCCACGTGTCATGAGTCCAATAATTTATGTCAAACTAAACCTTCAGCTTTTTGTCACTTCAGAAGGGATCCTTCCTTTAGATGAATGAATAGAAATATTCAATTAAAGTCGAAGATCACATAGTTTAGTAAAATATTCCACCACGAGGAAGAAAATAGTGCAAAGATATAATAAAAGAAAACGCATTTCATCATAGGTATCAGATTCCTAGAGAACCAAACATACAACAACCAAATATCTTGAACAGCTTGTTCTAATCAAACATAATGTAAAAAGGAATCGAAAATTGACACATAGTTACATCAAAAATCACATTAGAACAATAAAGAACTTGCAGCTAAGAAATAGTAAATGCTTATCCATAACCTTTGCAAAGCATGAAACTAACACATGAAAAATTGATTGCAGAAATAAGAAGATGGCAGTGAAGAAATAGTCATACCTGACAGTAGAACGGGGAGGTGAAATAGAATCAGCAGCTCTCTTGGTGCCACAGGAAGCATTATTATTATTAATTTTAGTAGCTGAAGAAGAGGAAGATGAAGAAAATGAATTGGAACCCAAAGAAGGGAAATCTTTAGCCGTCAAGAATTTAGCCCTTGAAGCTCCAGTTTTATTGGACTTAGAACCAAGACTTAGTCCAAGACCCAATTCAAGCTCAGACTCATCAGGGTATGATGAAGAAGAAGCCTCAGATGATAACAACACCATATTATCTTCCTTTGACACTGTTGAAATTGACCCATCAGTTCCTCCTCCACCATGATCACCAGCTAAATCCATTAGACCAAGAGTAGCTTCCATCAAAAACAGAGAGGGGTTTCTTGATTTTTTTTCAGGCTATGGGTAAGAAGAAAGAAGAGGAAAAGGGAAGAAAGGAAATGGTAATGAAAAGTAGGTGGGGTGGGGTTGGGGGTGGGGGGAGTGTATGAGAAGG